GGAATCAGCTGTGTAAAACATGTGCTGGAGAAGTTGGTGGTTCATTCTGCTGTGGCGACCACTGACAAATAAAGGGACTATTCCGAAATTAATTAATGAATGAAATGTAAAGATGCAATTTGAACAAATTTAGCAGAAGAAATGCTTAAAGGTGCATTACTGCAGGACTGGCCTACTGGTATTGGAGTCCAAATTCAAATGATTGGATATCCAACAATAACTTAACGCAGGTTGCCAGATCGACAACAAAAACAGAAGCAAGTATTTGGCTTAAAGGATTGAACTCAAGTTTAAAGGATTGAACTCAAGTCAAAAGTTTGTCTTGAGGAAAGGAAAAACAACCCACTATTTGATGTAAAAACAGCCTTACACTATAAACTGCTCAGCTAATGTTTACGTTAATAATAATTATTTTATTTGCAAATTTAAAACCACCTGATACATTTTTTTATAATTCTGAATCCGCTTCTCATTTTGGAGGCTGCTACCGTCCTCTGGAGGTTGTTTTTTTTTTTTGTCATGAGCCCATATATTGAGGCAGCCATCATGACTGACATAACATCCGCTGTGTTTTCCACCAAGAGAACTTGGGGTGCTGAAATATAACATCGTAATCTGGCAGTGGGCAGGTTATCGAGACCAAAACAAAGACAGATATTCCCACACAGAACGCACATTTTTAAAGGAGAATAATTGACTTTACTTTTGTTTTGTTTTTTGTGTTTATACAATTATGTTCACAGTTTTTAAATGATCTGCAAACATATTAAGGTATTTCATGCTTTAGAAGACTCAAAAACTCCCATACAGCACTGTATTTTGGATTACAACAGACTGTAAAAATCTATAAAGAGCCAAAATCTCATAATTGACACGTGAATGAAAAGCTGTTTTGCCTGTAGTGTCTTGTCTTATAGGTATACACACAGATTTAATGTATTTATGATAATATTCGTCTTGCAGTGGGATGCGTTCAGTTTTCCTGAACTCCAGAACTTCCTGCGGATTCTCCAGCGGGAGGAAGAAGATCACGTCCGGCAAATCATACGCCGATACACTCTGGCTCGTGATAAGATGAAAGAGGCTATGAAGAACTTCAGCAAGCCTGGCTGAATGAATCTGTGTTTATACCTCACAAACAAGAGAGATCGAGGAGGAAACAAGGCTTATTACTGTCTGAGTCCAAAGAGTGTGTGAAAGAGCCCTTCGTCCTACTGTGGACATAATGAGGGTTGAAAGTGAAATGCAGTGAGCGAGAGAAGAGATGCGTGTGTTTGAAGCATGACTGTTGAGTGTGACTTCACACTGGAGGAAATGCTGCGCTCGTAGCCGTAGATCCAGTGGAGAGATGTCTTCCTGTGGAGAATCTATATATCAGTGCAGATTACAGAGTATTTTCAGCACCATTTAAACTTGTCATAGGAAATTAAACGAGGATTATTTTAATATCTGTATCAAAATGCCACCTGTTAGTGACACAGTAACTTGTCATATTTTGAAGCTCCCATGTATATATTTGGATGTTTGTTGTCAATTATTCTGAAAATAGATACAAATAAACTATTTTTCCCTTTAAAATGACTGGTTTTGTTCAGTTCAATTATTACATTTTATATATATATATATATATATATATATATATATATATATATATATATATATATATATATATATATATATATTAATTAAATTTTTTTTTTTTTAATTTAACGTGCAACATTTTGAAAAGTGCATCATTTTCACATAAGCGAACGGGAACTAATTTATAGTTTGTCATTTGAAAAAAAATGTGTGTGTGTATATACATACAATTTGATGTAGATTTTTTGTTTAAATGGTAATATAAAAATGTGAATTTTTTCATAAAAATATTTACATTGAAATAATTAAATAACAAGTAAAATAAAAAAAATAACAAATCAAATTAAATAATAAAATAAATTATAAAGTTTCCCAGTATTTGTTTGCGGTTGGAAGGGTGTCGGTGATGTAAAACATGCTGGAATAGTTGGCGGTTCATTTTACTGTGGTGATCTCCATATAGAAACTAAGCTAAAGGAAAATTGATGAATAAATTATAAAATATATATTTTAAGAATGTGTGATTGAAGTATGCACAACAGTATTTAATTAACAATCATAAATATATAATATAGTAATAATATTTTTAAAAGATATAACATATTGTTAAAATATCAAACGTTTATACATTTACTAAAATATTTAGTTAATCGGATATTATTTCGAGAGATCTTTTGGACCAGTGTTTCTCAACCACATTCCTGAAGGCCCACCAGCACTGCATGTTTTGGATATCTCCTTTTTCTGTCACACCCATTACAGGTTTTTCAGACTCTGTTAATGAGCTGATGATCTGAATCAGGTGTGTTTGGTTAAGGAGATATGGAAATCATGCAAAGCTGGTGGTCCTCCAGGAACATGGTTGAGAAACACTGCTTTAGACAAACCTTTTCAAAGGACAAAACACATGTATAATTTGATACCGATTTTTGGTTTAAATGTTATATATATATATATATATATATATATATATATATATATATATATATATATATATATATATATATAAAAAATTTTTGGATATATATTCATACTGAAATAATTCAATAATACATAGTTAATTAAAAATAATGTTAAATAATTTATTCATTCATTTTCTTTTCAGCATAGTGCCTTTATGAATTAGGAATCACCACAGCGGAATGAACCGCCAACTTATCCAGCATATGTTTTGGATGCCCTTCCAGCTGCAACCTATCACTGGGAAACACTCATACACTCTCACACACACACATACACTACGGACAATTTAGCTTACTCAATTCACATATAACTTGTCTTTGGACTGTGGGGGAAACCGGAGCACTCAGAGAAAATCCATGCCAAGACAGGGAGAACATGCAAACTCCACACAGATATGCCAACTGATACAGCTGAGGCTTGAAACAGCGACTTTCTTCCTGTGAGGCAACAGCGCTACCAACCCTATATAGTGTTATATAATATTAAAAATACATTTTCTCAAATTATTTAATTCTATTAAATAACGTCTTTTTAAAAAGCGACAATAAAACGAACTCAAATAATATTACATTAGGCAAAACATGACTAAAAAATTACTGTTATTTTGTAAAAATTGTTAACTTTTATTCTATCCGTACTCCTGTATTTCCGGTTTTATCGGGAGCGGTTGAGAGTGTCGTGATTCACTGTCTGATCAGCAGCGGCTCGTTTGTGACTTTGCACACTCAATAAATCTGACCAAAGCAGAAACAATTCGCACCATTTCCGCTGCTTTGCATTATTGAACACCAAAAGACTTCATTCAGGTAAGTGTCATCATTATTAAGAGTATTATGTTGAGTTAAAGACAAAATCGCAGTAGGACATTATGAAGATGTTAGCCGTATTAGCAGCAATGCTACATGAATTTAGTCAACTACAAAATACACCAAATAAAAACAGCGTTGTTTACTATTACAAAACTTACGTAGAATGATCGTGTTAATGAAATTCCCTCAAATTAAATCTTGTTTCTACTCATTTTATATGCTGACATAAACAATATGTCCTCTTTCTAGATGCTAGTGCTAATGCTGAGGTAAAAAAATCTGTTACATAAAATATTATGTCAAGTATTCAGTTATTATGACTCTAAAGCTCATTTTACCCTTTTATAATTGGTTTAACTCGGTGAGAAAGCACATTGCACAGATTTCACATGTCATAAAAAGTTGCCATATTTTAACATGACTGTCACTATTATCAGCTTCATGACAGCAGCGTGTCAATTATTAACAGTATGGGTTAACTAACAGTCTGTTTTGGTCTTCTTTCAGAACTGAGCACCCGTCCCAGTGTGACCCGACCAGGAGGAGAATGTTTTGCGGTCCATGATGGGCGGCAGCGGGTCTAAAGGTAAAGGCTATTGGCCATTTTCAGGTTCAGGTGGTGGGGATGAACCAGCCAAAGAGGGCCAGGAGCAGAGCCTGTCCCGGGTGCGCAGCATCCGAAATGCGACGCCATTCGTGTTTACCAGGAGGAGGTAAATATAACCACAGAATCTGACATGTGATTTCCTGACCGCATAACTGGACCGCTGTGCAGTTGTGCTGTGAGATAAACAGATAGGGAAAAACATACATTTAACACAGTTTCACTACACATTTTGGAAATGACTAGCCAAATATTTGAGGTAATTGAACCTTTAATGTTAAGTAAAGGTTAAAGTACAGTTGGTATGGTAAGTTATTGCAAAATAAAGCCTGATAGGGTAGTCAGAGCTTGTATTTTACACTGGTGACTGGCTGACTTTTTATTGTTTTTCTCTCATATAATATAAGATGGTCAATATTGGTGTCTACATATTATAAAATATACAAATAATATTTTATATACATGCATATGAAATGGAAATGACTTTTATTGAAAAAAAGATAAAACATGGGTTAAATAACAATTCACTGTCATATATTGTGTATTTATGTAAATAATGTGTGTGTGTGTGTGTGTGTGTGTGTATATATATATATATATATATATATATATATATATACATTTATGTACAAATTGAAATTTTTTTTCTGATTAAAAAAGGAGTGATCCTGCAAAATTGTGTTATTTAATATGGTTAAAAAAATTAAAGGATAGAGACAGGTTAAATATAAAAAATGGCAATTAATGTATATGTTTATGTGTATATGGGGCTGCACTGTGATCCTTATATATAAAAAAGTTTTTACACTTGAATTAGGCTTCTTCTAGGGTTGGGTTGAAAGACGATGCCATCATCCATCGCCGATGGCTGACAGACATAACGTTGCTAAGCAGGCATTGCGATCCCTACGCCCCGCCCCCATTGCAGCAACCTGCTCATGAAAAATACACACTCCGGCCCCATTTGCACTAATACGTCTCAGTTCTAAAATGACATTGTAGAACAAAAACGATCCTTGTCTACACTGCTTTTTCACCTAACATTTCTGAAAAGCTCTCCTTCCACACTATACCACTGAAAACGCACATCACGTGTCCACACACACAAACACACACAGTCATACGCTCCAGCAGTCTTGAGTAGTAAACACCAGAGAGCAGTGCAAGCTGGACAGTTTATCAAGGATGTACCGCTGGATCACTTTTCACTACAGTTGTTAAACGTGATATTTAGTTAATCTTCAGGTAACTTGTCACAGCGTCAGTACACTGCTTCAAACTTTCGCTTTCACACTTGTACTTAGTAATTTTAGCGAGACCTCAGATACTGATGGTTGGGCACCTTTTTAACCAACCAAGTTTATCGACGCCATTATAATGACACAGATTATTCTGCCTATTCATGCCAGAGTCCTGCGGAAAAAGTGATTGGCAGGTGGTAATTTGTGTGTAACTTATCTTAATTTATTTATTATTTGGTTATGGGTAAAACAAAGACCATGCGGGTCTGGCAGTTGAATTGGTAAGCTACAATAATTAATTAGTTCTGAATTCATTATTTATAAAAAACTAATTCATTGCCGCCTACGGCGACGATGCCATCGTTTTTTTTTTTGCAATGTTTCATATTAGACATAAAACAATGCCAAATTGGTCGACATCGCCCAACCCTAGCTTCTTCTTTAAATAATGATAGAAATATGTAATTTTTATTATAGTTTTGCTAAAAATAGATATTCCAGTATACTTGAAAATAGATTCATGGTATGCAATTCATACAATTATATCATCTATCATCAAGTAACCACTCAGAATCACATGCTTCTTTTGGGTTAATCAAAAGTAAAGTGGGTTTTTTTTACAAGTAGTATTTTACATGATTAAATGTGTATAAAAATTGTTCCACATGTATGCGTTTCATTAATCAATAATCATCTTTTAAAGCTCTTTGTACTTTGACGAGGACGGCGACCTGGCCCACGAGTTTTACGAAGAAACGGTAGTAACAAAAAACGGCCGCAAGAAAGCAAAACTAAAACGAATCCACAAGAACCTCATACCTCAGGTCAGTCAGCATGGGAATATTTAGGTTCGGTTGCCTGCATGTTTATATTACTTTCAATTATAGCATTTAGATATTCATGAAAACTGTTTACGACTTGTTCCGTAGGGAATCATCAAGTTGGATCACCCGTGTATCCACGTTGATTTTCCAGTCGTCATCTGTGAAGCCTGATGCCGTCGGTGACCTCATGCGAAGAATCCGTCCTCCCTCATTTTCCTCCCGACCGCTGGATCCCGAACACGCTTGCTGTGTAGCGCCCCCATGTGTCCTGGAGGGCTGAACGCGTGTATGTGGAATCCCGGCAAACCCGGCCGCGAAACGCTCCGGCTGTCTGAGAAGAGGCTGCGGCCTGACAATGATGTCCTGACTTTTTTCGTTTTCTTGTAATCCTCCACATGTATGTCTTGAAGACTATTATGGGCTGTACATCCAAGACACTAAGTGTGGTTTGTATACGAGTGTATGGCTGTTAATGTTTGTATGTGACCATAGAAATAGAGAAAATTTTGCGATGTTTGACTTTTATCAGGAGCACATCATGATGGACTCTTCTAGAACGTTGCAAATTTAGACGTTCTAAAAGCCATGGTTGTGTTTGAATGCTTAAATCAAAGGGCATTGTATACCAAGCAGAACTCCAGAGAGGATTTTCGTAGAGGTAACGTCGTTAGGGTTAGTACAAAAAAAAAACATAAAAACTACAGCCTGACTTTTGCATGTAGTTCCTATAGACCTGATTCTGCTTTCTTTTCAGCCGGTAGGGGAGAATCAATGGCTGTTTACTATGCTGTGATTTGTTTGTATGCTGATGGGATGATGGAATTGCTGCCGCTCTTTGATTGGACGGCTGAGGCACTGACTGACACGGTGCTGCCAGTCACTGTGAGAAGCCCCGCCCCCTCACACTATTGTGTCAGTCTTTATTTATTACAAATAAAATGACCAGATGGCATAAAAAAAATACCACGTGTAAATGCGCATCAAATCGTGTGTGTTCTGTCAGTTTAGTAGTTTAAAGGCAAGGACACGCTAACAGTGGCGGATTTAGGCATGGGCAATATGGGTGACCGCCCAAGGCGGCATCTTGCTGTTGGTGGCACGGGGAGACAGTGCAAAAAAGTTTGCCCCAGTAAAAGCTTTGAGGGACAATTTACTTTATGCAAGTGTATTAATTTAGAGAGGTAATCCCAGAATAAAGATGCTGGGGGTCGTTCACATTTAGCATCTTTTGCATGCGCAAGTTTGTTACTCTCTGTGTGCACCCAAAACAACTCTGGCGAAAGCAAACGGATGCATGCAGAAAACCATTCCGGCGCACCTCACATGCACTGCTCCAGCTCCCAGTATTAATCCTGGTTATTAGCATTCACGCTGATAAAATATGTGAATTTGGAGCAACAGGCTTTTATGCAGAGATGTTGACATGCAGGAAGTTTTGCAAGTCGACATATCTTATTTTGACTAAGCATGGCTGTGAAGCAGAAAGGAGTGATAATGATTCAGGGACAAAAGACTTAATAACATTAATTCTCGGCCATGGGTCGGGTCTAAGACAACACATAATTCTAAAAAAAGTTTTTGTTATATTCTATAGAATTCTAATAATTAATATTCATGCTAAAGATGTCTTAAGCGATCTAAGGATATCACTTCAGTTGTGTTTTTACATTGTTTTCCAGTTACATTTAGGATTGATTTCTGTTATTCATTTATAATAATAATATTAATAATAATTGTGTTTATAATAAATATAAATAAATTGTTCAATGTAATGAAAATAAATATGTATTATATTGGGGGATTTATGTCTATATATCTATGGTTGTCTATGGCGTCCTTCGCCCAGGGTGCCATTTAAAGTAGAACCGCCACTGCATGCTAAGTCAATCCTAAGTACAATCGCTAGCCAAAAACAGATGTGTTGTCTTACGTCGGCCATGTCTGGACTTGCAAACTGAGACATAAAATCCTGAAGTACAAAACGGAAAGAAGGTAGCATGAAGGACCACTATCACAGTACATGTCAGTCACCATGGAGGGATTCGCTCGTATAAATATGTCTAATAATTCATATCATCTGCAAATATTTGACAAATGCAGCTAAATAACAGCGAGCCTCTTTGTGTTTCTTCTTAGCTTAAATCTTTTGCTTGTATTCATCACTTTAATTCAGTTCTTGCACTCTGATTGGTTGCTGAATAATGCTTATTCTACATGCTGAATTGGACCAACTCACTCCGACAAGAGGCGACTTGTATATCGCACTAAACCACATGTCAACGTCAGTTCCTGGAGTGCCACAGCTCTGCACAGTTTATTTCCAACCATAAATAAACACACCTGATCAAACTAGTTTAGTCCTTCAGTCTGGTTTGAAACCTACAGGTAAGTGTGTTGAAGCAGGGTTGCAACTAAACTATGCAAGGCAGTGGCCCTTCAGGAACTGAGTTTGACTCCCGTGCACTGCTGAAGGGACCCTCACATGTCCCGATACTGCCCAATAGCCCATCGTTGCTTGTGTCCTGGCTTCAATAGTAATTTCAATGAAAATTGAGTGACAGGACATGATTTTTTTTTATTATGTTTTTATGTTTAATATGGCATACATTTTGATGCTCAGGAAGTGTAATCATTTGGATAATTTTACTGAAGTATAATACTTTGTATTAACTAAAGTAAAGGTAAGAAATTTTAGCTGCCATTAAAAAAGTAAATGCAAATTGTGAACAAACCCTTCAATGTTCAATAGAAACAAAATTCATGTAAAATACTTGAGTATTTTTTTGTAAACTAAGAATATTTCAGATGTATCTACAATTAAGCAATTTTGCTTGTACAGTTTTGATGTCCAGTGTAGGTCAGTGTGTTTTAGCGATGTTCTACAAAAAGGTCTAGATTTTCACTGCTAAACATTCACCCCAACATGAGCAAAACCAATATTTATAAACAGGTTTATCAATGTTAAGTTTAATTAAATTCCATCCACAACAGCTTTTTTAATCTTTCCTAGAGTTCCCATCTTTCCCTCCTGCCGTCTGTTTTTCCCAGTTGTCCTTTAGTTGAACTCTATTGTACTTTACTTTCCACAGGCCTGAACTCATCCTTTGCTTCATTTCCTTTGTTCCATTAACAAACAGGAACTGAAGGAATCTTTTATCATTCCAAGGACTGTTTTTCCACCAATGCTAATCTCTGAACTGGACAAAGAGACTTGCGGAAACAGAATACAACCATTCGAGTCTGTGTAAGACAAATTAGGATGTTTGCCAAGTCAACCATCACTATGGTTGGCAATTCAATAGGAAAGAAAATGTTAAACCTGCTAATGCCAAGTATTAGACTTGGCAACATCTTCCCCCACTGCACTACAGACATGATTTGTGAAATCCGAGACTTGTGCTAAGTACCTGCAAATGATAAAATGAGCTAATGCATCCCATTGTAGAGACTAATGGGTGTGATTTATTGATTGAGGCCAGGAGGCAGCCACCTAGCAACCACTCAGAACTTGCTAGTTAGCAAATAGCTTTGAGGTAATAATCTCTTCAAGCATTGTAGCAAGAAAATGACGTTTAGCTTTTATTGAGGAAAAAAGAAGAGCTCATCGTTATCTTGTCTTTGGTACAGTATGATGTTGTCATGCTCATATAAAACTGCATTCCATGTCCTTGAATTCATCCTTAAGGAACCACTGTCTCCCACCCATGCTCCAAACTGGGACGTCAATTCCCGCTTGGATTTCTGAAGACCAGCTATAATTTCCTTGGAGGAGCCAAAAATGAGCAGTGATGGCTTTTAGATGGTGTGCCTGGGGGCTCGTAATCTCTATCATATGACTTACTCAAAATGCTTCAGTGCATATGAAATAACTTTCTATCCCAAATCTGCACTAAAACGCCCACGTTAGAATCAGCCTCTCTGACAGTTTTCCATGGGAGCTTCCATCCATCTCAAATGTGCAGCTGCATTTAGCATTAAATATCTAGCATTAGCTGTCGGTATTTAGAGCGTGAGCTTTGAGGTTCAGTTGGTGGATGCTGAATGCCCCTCATCTATGAATTATGTTCTACTACAATAGTTTTGGGGTTATTTAAGATTTGTTGCTTTAACCTCTCTGGTTCTATATGTGCAAGTCTAGGTGGGATTTAAGTCAGTGTCTATGGCATGAAGCTTGGAGAAAAATGTAGGACGGTACATGATTTTATTCTTCAGGAATTGATTGGACTGTTGGAAGATGGGGATTGCTAACAAATTGAAGGAGGATTGACCAACAGATAAAAGTGACGGCGCCCTCATATCCCTGCCCAAAAGGCAGTCCATGTGAGCCGAATTGAAGAATTTTTTTTGAAGGGACATGGAAGATTAAGGTATTTGATAAAAGATTATGAGGGTAAATTTAATTTGACGAGATAAAGAAGTGCACAGATACATTGTGTAATGTAATGTGTGTATTTTTATAGCCCATTTATCGTGTATGGCCATACACTCAAAGTGCTTTTTAATCATTAGGATGGTCTCTCCACACCACCACCAGTGTGCAACATCCACCTGGGTGATGCGACTGCAGCCACAAGACAACGGTGCCAATGTGTTCAACACATTCCAGCTATTGGTGGGGTGGATAGAGAATGACGGAGCCAATTCAGTGGATGATTGGGAGACCATGATGGGTAAGGGCCGATGAAGGAAATTTAGTCAGGACACTGGGGTCACACCTCTACCCTTTACGAGAAGTGCCATGGGATTTTTAATAACCACAGAAAGTCAGGACCTTGGTTTAACATCTCATCCAAATGAAAGCGTTTACTGACAGTATAGTGTCCCCTTCACTATACTGAGGCATTAGGACTCGCACAGACTGCAGATTAAGCGCCCCCTGCTGGTCTCTAACACCACTTTCAACAGCAACCTAGTTTTCCCATGTGGGTGCCCATCTAGGTACTGACCAGGCTCAGGCCTGCTTAGCTTCAGTGAGTAACCAGTCTTGGGCTGCAGGGTGATATGGCTGTTTATAACCATCGCTACTATAGAAATATAAAATTAAAAAAAAAAAGCTAAATTTAGATTTTCTCCTGACTGTAAGGCTTGTGCACCCTAGGACATCTTTCGTGTTTGATAATCTCTAATGCTGGCATTTAATGGCATGTGATTTTGGTTAATTTTTTTGGTTTGCCACATGCACCACATTAAAAATTGGTAGACAAATAAAATATTCACGTTAGTTTATGTGCCTTAAGCTGAATTGATAGTAAAAGACACCTTGGTGGCCCTAAAGAACAGGACAGTCTAACCAAGCACACAGCCCACACAGATAAAAACTCATAGAGATCTATTATTACTCTCAAAATAGGACAGAATTACACATCCAATTCACATAATTTTTTTGTCATGGCAGGTATAACTTTTTTTCCAGCAACTTTTATGCAGGTGTTTATGTCCTGTAGTGACGGAGAGTTAATCCGGTGTCGAAAAAGTTTACACACTAAAACATGAAATGAAAAAGCGTGTGGATGACAACTACTGTACAGCAAGTGAGTGTCCGAAGTTTAAAAATGTACAGCGCCACCTTGTGTACTGGAGCGTTTCTGCTTTTCATTAAATGACATTTAATGTCAAAGTGATTACATGTGCACATTCACTCTACTCATCGCCAATAAAAACAGTTTTGGCATGAATGTCGAAAGTATGCT